CTTTCAGACAGATTCTTATTTAAGATCTGCCAGCTTTCAGATCATCCCCTAATTCCTAAATTGCACCTTCTTTCAGAGTATATCTCATCTGACCGATACTGGACCCATAAGGACTCCCTGCTTGTTTAAAAGTTTTGTAATTTTTTTTTCAGCTTCCTTACCCAATCTTTCAATGTAAAATAAATCCACTCTTTGATGTTCCTTACGAGGCTATTGTTTACCAACCCGACATTCATCTAGATCTAGGTATAGAAAAGGATTCTCCAATGGCAAATTTGAAATTAAAAGAAATTATAGAAAACACCTTTAAAGATTGGCTTGTCATGTACACAGACGCTTCAAAACAGTCTGATGAAGACTATACTGGAGCTGCTGTTTGGATTCCTAAGTTCAAAATCATTCTTAACTTTAAATGCCCCTCACTATCCTCCACTTTTACCGGTGAAGCAACTGCAATCAGTGAAGCTTTGTTATATGTAGAGTCACATAATCTTAATAAAACAGTTATTTTCACAGATTCAAAAAGTTGTTTGTTAGCTATTTTGTCCAATCAATTCCATAACAAACATAAATTTCCACTAATTCTTAAAATAAAAAATACCCTATTCAGATGCCATCTTAAAGGAATCCATGTTTCAGTGGCCTGGATTCCAGGCCACAGTGGTATCCATGGTAACGAAACAGCTGATGTACTCGCTAAAAATGCAATTGTTAATGGCATTCTACAAAATTTAATTTACTCACATGACCTAATTTTGCTAGCTAAAAGGAAACTGAATGAAAATTGGAATAAATTATGGGAAGTTTCCAAAAATGTTAAAGGTAAGCACTATGCTGCCATCCAAGAGGTTATTCCTCCCAAGCCTTGGTTCTTTAAATTTAACAAAGCAAATAAACATGCAACTTCAATCATTTGTAGATTAAGAATTGGACACGCTTGTACACATGCACATCTGGCAAAAATCAGAGTAAAGCGGGCTACATACGACACGATATCGGTGGCGATCTAGGGTGGAGTAGTGGGGATGCCTCCTAGATTGCCTCTAAATCGTGTCGTATGTAGGGCCATCCTAAGTCGTGGCCGATATCGCCTCCTTAATCGGCTGGCAGGAGCAAAAATGCTTCCTAGATCAGCCGATGCTTCCTAGATCGGGGCACCGCCCCCTCCTTACTGCGTGTGTGTAGGCGCATCGGCCCGATTTCTTTTGGCAGTCGCTGCCGGTAACCCTCGCGGAAGAAAGTTAACAAGACAGTGATACTGAATGACCTTTTTTATATAACAAAATTTTTACATTTTAATCATATAAACGGAGTAGAAGCCTATGGCACTGATATTTTACAAAAAACCAAAAAAAAGTGAATAAAATAAATAAATTAATTGAAATTTTATCGAAATTCAAATCATATCCACCCTAGCCTGTGACCCTGCGAAGTGACATGGTCAACAATGCCTACTAAACTAATTTTTTTATTGCCGTTCGTAAAGTAGAGTGTATGATGTAAGTAAGGAGAAGATAAAGCCTCTCCTCAACAACTAACTCCTATTCCAACACTATCAACACAAGACCGCACTCATATCTCTTACAACTCCACAAGACCACAATTCGATCTCTTACGTGCCTTCATCCTCTTATAAACAACTAACTTCTACTCCTTCACCATCTCCACATCAACAAACAAGTTATATAAAAGGGAGTATGTCCGAAATTAAAGGTTTCTTTATGTTTAAAAAAAGATATAAGCTATTTTATTTTCTGATAGTTTTACTCCATAAATAAAGATTACATTAAAAAAAGTATACATATTATTATACAAAAGTATTTTATTTCCTTGTTTGTTGTGTGTAATACATAAACAGATTTTGACCAAAGCAGAAATGAACAAAGAGAAGAAATAACTAAATAGCATAGGTACATAGGAGAAATTGATGTTTTTATATAAGTGGAGAAATCATTTCTAGAAGGTTATAAAAACTGTCTTCATCCATCCGGAGAAAATTAATCATGTCTTTGGAATACAGATCATTTAGTACGTTTATGTAGCTTAATTTTTGTCTCTTTTGGAGCCATTTTTTCACCCAGCAACTCCTCTTTTTCTATTTTCGAATAAATTTACCGAGAGGGTTAATGCCAAACCAATACATTGGTGTTTTAAGAGAGTTGAAGCTATTTTGAAGAACTCTACCGCATATGTGTTCCGCTCCAAGTCCGAACGCGTACTGCTAGGCAGGCCCGTGTGTAGAGTCTGCCCCGATAAAAGCCCCGATTTCTTTCCACCCTAGATCGCCACCGATATCGTCTCGTGTGTAGCCCGTTTAAGGGATAGCTCATTGTGTGAATGTGGCTTAGATGAAGGTTCCACAAACCATATTTTTTTCAACTGTTCCAAATTATCCTCCTCCCTTTATGATTACCTTCCTCCTTATATTCCTCGACCTATAGATTTTAATTCTCTTTTAGCATATACCAGCACTCCTTTTGTGTATATTTTATGTGATTTTATTAATACTAATAATATGAAACCTTAAAATCCTTGTCACTTTTAACATACGGGTAAGAGTCTAACACCTGTGTTTGTCATATTTGTTCTAGATAATTCAACAAATAGATTTGTCAAAATTCTCGGAGGAAAACTGAATCCTTGTATTATCACAGACTCTATTTTAATTAAACTCATAAGCTTTCATTTTCTACTCAATACGTCATTGGCGAATTTTATCAAACCGCCACAAAAGAAAGAAGAAGAAGAAAACATTCAAATAATCGAATCATTAATATTTTTTATGTATTATTTGTTACATTAAATTTTTATTTTTAAAATTCATTAAATTACATAAATCATGAATTAAACAAGTATTTTTTTACTTTATCAACGTAAATTTGTAGGCCAAAAAACTCATATACAAAGCCGCGTTGAAAAAACTACTACGTAATTTCAGTCTCCCGCCATTTCGGGAGCTAACTATGCGTAATTTTGTGATTTTGTGTTTGTCTCATTATTTGATACTGACTGCCTCGTTGGTCTAGTGTTTGTAGTAGTGCGACTGCTGATCATGAGGTCCTGGGTTCGAATCCCGGGTCGGGCCAAAAAATTAATTATTGAGTTTTTCCGTCAAGAAATTCTCAGTAGTTGCCCGGAGTCAGGAAGTTGGCGGTGTCTCACACCCGTGCCTCGGAAAGCACGTAAAGCCGTTGGTCCTGCGCCTGATCTCTCTCCGGTCCATCGGATTATGAGAGTGAGCGAATAGAGAGTGCACCTGTGCTTGCCCATACACTTGGGCACTATGATCCTGTCCTGCGCCGATGGCTAGTCTCCGTTGAGGCAGGCCGCCGTGGCCAAAATTCGGTCTGGAGGACATTATTATTATTATTGATTTTTTGTTTGTTTTCTTATTTTGTAACTCGGCTTTAACTTTTTGAACTGTACTGTATCTTCTATATTCGTTGAAACATGTGCCCATGTCACAAAGGATGATGATGATAATGTGGTAGCAAAAACAAAAAAAAATTGATTATGTATGACTTTGAAAGAGACATTAAGTTTGACTGCATTATTGAAAATCAAATAATAATTAATCTAAACAACGACAGCTCAACTAGTTGTACTGAAAGTGATGAATAAATTTATTTTTAATCTAGTTTCAATCTTGATTTTTTATAACTTTGCCTTTAGAAATAAGCAGTAATAATAAATACGAAGAAACTGTTAAATCTTGTGTTTTAAATTATCCGTTTTAAATTTATTTTGGTATTATTCAAACCAAACTGTATATGATTACCAACTTTAAATAATCGATATTGATTTTTTTTAAGAATCGAATACTGTACGTTCCCATTTTTTGGTTGGCATGCTTGGTGCCATAAGTCCGACAGCTGTCAAAATATATTTCTTAGATTTGGTTGACTATAGTGTTGCCCTCTCTAACTCTTCAAACTGCTTCCAGTTTCCTTGGCATACTCCTAATCAAGTTTTTAATATAATCTTCTGAGAATACATTCCATTCTTCCTCTAAACCATTTTTAACATCTCTCAAACTAGCGGGGACGAGATTTTGTTTCTTCTTAATTTGTCTTCCAAAGTTATTTCATACATGGGGTTTAAGTCGGGCAAGCTCTCTGGCCACCCCATAGCATTGATTTTAACGTCTCGAAGGTATTTGATAACTACGGCCACAGTATGGGGCCGTGCATTATCGGGCATAAAAAGAAGTCTATCTCCTATTAAAGTGGGAAATGATACTATAATTTCTTACAACATCTCAGCTACATATCGGGGCGCTGTTAGTGACCCATTCTTATTGACGCGGAGTTCCGTACGTGCCCCTATACAAATACCTCCCCATACCATAACTGACCCTACACCATATGCCTCTTTTCCAAAGATGTTGCATTGAGCGTACCTCTCACCCGGGCGTCTCCACACTTTAATCCTTTCATAATCTGGCTTTAAGCAAAAATCTGGACTCATCTGTGACTAGAACCAAGCTTTGTTATTACAATTTTCGTGATTGCGAGCAAGCGAGTGTGAATTTATTCTGACCAATTTCAGTCGAAAGACGTAGCTAGAGTTGCTTCAAAGTTACGAAAGCGACATTTCATGCGATATGGATAGCGAAAGCAAATGCTACTGGCTGATAAAGAAGGAAAACAATGGCAAAAGATCCTTTTTTGATGACTTTTGTGATGATGATGATGAAAGAAGAAAAGTGAAAATAGGTTATTTTCTTTCACTCTTTGAACCGTTGGTGGTGAAAGAATATCCACTATCCCATATCTTCTAGTGAGTGTCTAAGAGGCTGCAAAGGGAAACAAAACCTCACAGTATGCCCAGCAGCATCTTCTTAATAACAACTAATAATTTGAACACTGCAGGTGCCGACCCCCCTGCCAAGCATGGCAAATATCCCCTCCTATGAGTTAATCTATGTGGGAGGCCAAAGTTCTGCAGTGGACAATTGATAGGCTGTAACGGTTACAGTACAAATGTTACTTTCTTTTCAGACATGCACTTAACTTGAAACAATTAGACAATGGCGTCAAAATACCTCCTTCTGGTTGGAAATGCGCTAAATGCGACCTGACCAACAATCTGTGGTTGAATTTGACAGACGGCTCTATTTTATGCGGCAGAAGATTCTTTGATGGCTCTGGAGGCAATGATCATGCCGTAAGTATAGCTATGTCCTAACTTTATTTTTATTTGGTGATCAAACCAAACCAGCTGTTACCTCTGAAAATAGCTTAGAATAGCTCTAACCTAGTTTTAGCCAAGGCCAACACAGTGTAATTTCACAAGGATAACTGCCTGTGTTTTTAAGGGTATGTTCTAAAATAGAACCCAGTGTACTGTCCAATGCAAATGACGTCATGAATCGACGCCATACTGGTGATTCGTTCCAAAACATATGACAGTATATGACGTGATATTGGAAAAGTGTTGGCGATTATTTTGTCATTTTGTGCTCCAAAAATCATTACATCCTAATGGAAATACCAGCAATTATTCTATAATTTTTTGTATTTGTGTAAATAGAAACAAATTCTGGCTTGCTTCGTTCAGCGTACACACAATTAAAAATTGTTTTAATTTAGCCGGATTACGTCAAAATAAGGCGGCGGCACGCCAATACAATATGGCGTCAGTTGATGACGTCATTTGTATTCGGCAGTATACTGGAAACGTTTCGGAACATACCCTTTATATACGCTAAGCTAAGCTACACAGCTTTGTTTTAGATAGTAATTGTTGTAGTAATTGAGGGAGCATGTCACTTTTCTTCTTGTATCAGTTTTTATATTATACTGTATATATTTCGATGGTGGTGAACTAATAGGATGTTTTAGTAAGATAGTATATTATTCTGCTTTTTTTTTTAAATTAAGAATACATGTTTTCAATTCCAATTCTTAGGGCATAAACAAAACATTTTTTACGTGGTAGAGCCATGCTGCAGCTATATTAATAATTGTATAGTTGTAGCACGTATGGGTCGGCTCGACCGGGGAAGGACCACGCTCTCACAGAATACCAGCGTCAAATAGTAGCTTACTGCTGCTGTGTTTCGTATGGTGAGTGTAGAGAACCGGAGACCCTTTTTACTGGAAAAGAGGCATTCCATCTTAGTCCTCAAGGTTGACAACGCATCTTCATTTTGATTCGCAAACGAAGATGGATGTAGATGTCTATGGGCCTCAGCAACCACTTACCATCAGGTGGACTGTGTGCTCGCTTGTCGCCCTTTTCCTATAAAAACAAAAAAAACACATTTGATACGAACAAATTACACAATAAATCTTGATAATTTTAATTTATATTAAATAAAAATATTCTTAACCAGTTTGCTTAAATAAATTAGGAATTGACTACAGGCCTTCTAGCTAACTAAATCTAACCTTCAAACCAGATAATAATAATTTATTTCCTATCACAATGGCTCAAATAACACTATATTGAATAAAATAACACTTAATAATTGTCTTTGTCTTGACGTAATAGGCTAACTTCTATTTTAGTTCATATCTTTATTTTAAAAGAGCCACTACCGTGTCACTGGATATCAATTAGTAGTGAAACTGGGAACTATAAGTTTTAATTTAAAAGACAAATAATTTGTACAGGTTGAGCACTACCGTGCTACAGGATATCCATTAGCAGTGAAACTGGGAACTATTACAGCTGATGGGAAAGGTGATGTTTTCTCATATGCAGAGGATGACATGGTGGAAGACCCTTACCTGGCTGATCATTTGAAACATTTTGGAATTAATGTGCAGCAGTTGCAGAAGGTGAGTGACTCGAATCTTGTAGAGGATGCTTACTTGTTGCTTAATTTTTAGTTCAGTTTTATGCACTTGACCCTATTTTTACTCACTGAGATTAACATAATTGTACTTAATTTTAAATAGGTTTGTGACATGTTTATGCTCTTGTGGCTTCTTCAGAAAAAATTTTTCGATAATGTAACTTGTCGTCTTGTGAAATGCGAGTGTGTCATAACAACTGAAATAAATGGATGTGAACTACTTATGAAAAATGTGCATAAAAGTTATTCACATGAATAAAAAGCGCCCCGCTTGACGCTGATAAAGATTATATAAGTTTAATTTAACTTACAAACGACTGAACCGCATACACATTTTTTCAACAATTTAAAGTTGAAATGGATCTGATTTTTGAAATTCGTAATTTTCAAGTATCATCAGTGTTACTATTTTAAAGGAATATGATGATTGAACTCATCGATTTTACAATTTATATAATGATTTGAAAACGACAAAATATATTGTTCTTAAATTTGTAAAAAAAAAATATATTGTTCTCAAATGATATTGTCATAAAACTAATTTTAATCGATGCATAATTTCGTTCTTATACAAATTAAACGTAATTAGACGGGACAGATGAGCACGAATTAAAATTAACAGTGGGTTATAACTGGAGAAGAGTCACAAAAGGTAGAGAACAATCAAAATCACTACATATTATAATAAAACTGAACAAGAAAGGAATAAGAAGGTTTGGAAATAAAGGCTATATTATTATGTTAATGTGTGCGCCGTATAGGGACTACCTTAACAGAATCTACTATCACATACTATCATCCCCCAGTGTCGAAAAAGGCGATAGAAGGAAATTGAACAGGTAATGGACCGCAGCATCTTCCTGATACGAACCGAAAATAATAAAAAAAAACTGCCGTCGCCAACCTGAAAGCCAAACGTGGCAACTCTGGCAAAATCAAAAATTCCTACGGGGCAGTCTATGGGTGAGGCTTATTTTCAAGGGTGGACTCTCTAAGCTGTAATGAATGAGTGTGTCTGTTTTCAGACGGAAAAATCGATGGTAGAGTTGGAATTGGAGCTAAATCAACGAACTGGTGAATGGAACACCCTGCAAGAATCCGGCAGCGATCTGCGTCCCCTTCACGGGCCCGCCCTCACCGGCCTCAACAACCTGGGCAACACGTGCTACATCAACAGCGTCGTACAGGTGAGTGCCTGCACCTTGCTATCTTCGCTTACCCAAAAATCTACAGAATTATTTGGAATGTGACAGCAAAGGACTTGCCTCGTCATAATGTTGTAAACAGCGAGGGAGTGGAAAGATTTGGGATATGTTTCTCCGTCATTTGATTACAATTTGGGCGTCTTTAAGGCAATGGTGAATAGGTTTTCTTCAAGCGAAGCAGCTGTGAAGTGGCAACGTAGGATATTCCACTACCCTATATTGTTCTGTGATCTATTTCTATTACGGTTTATCTAACTACGAGTCGATAAATTTGCAATGCTGGCGACGATCAACATATGCCGCTATTTTACGCTCTTTATTATGCATAAACTACTGAATGTGTTTTTTTTTATAGCATTGGGTGACAAACGAAAACAAGCCCACGTGATGGTAGGTGGAAGCTGTGGCCCATAGCCATCCACATTTTTCATAATGCAAATGCGTTGTCATCCCTGAGGATTAAGACGGAATACCTCGATTCCAGTAAAAGGGTCTCCGGTTCTTTACAATCACCATACGAATGAATGAAATCACATTACACTGGTATTCTGTAAGAGCTTGGTACTGCCCCAGTCGAGCCGACCCATTCGTACTACAAATATAATATAGTAGTGTGGCTCTACCACATAAAACTCACTGTGTAGTCGCGATGTAAGAACTGGAAAATAAAAAACTGTGGATGCCAACCCGCCTGCCAAATATGGCAACTATGGCAAATCATCAAAGATGACTTTTAATAGATTGTAATGATAATGATATTATGTATAAAAACTGTAAAAGTAACGTTACAGCATATATTTGTCCTAAAAACACATGCTGAGCTGCCTCAGTGCATGTTAGCGCACACAAGTCTTCCAAATTTTTTATTTCTTAGATTATTATATTAGAACAATTTTCAGGTTTCCTCACAATCTTTTCCTTTACTGCAGAGCACATAGTATGAGTAAGTCAGCACTTGAAAATGTGTGCCGGCTTGGCATTTGAAAATTATGGCGAGCGAGATATTAGCTAAGCTAATACGGTCACAGAAGAATCGTTTTTAGTTTATTGTACTTATAATTAAATTAGAAAACTTGATAGATTTTAAAGATGAGAATTCTTAATAACTTTTCATAATTTCAGTTCAGAATCTAAATTAAAAAAAATGTTTTTCATGTGATACTTCATTAAGTTGGCCAGCAGAGTATTGTGCATTATAGTTATTGAAATTGAAAGAACTTTTAGTGAGTGCCTATATATTTTTTTAGGTTATGTTTAGGATGCCAGACTTCATCCGAAGATATGTTGAAGGCGCTCCGGAAATATTCTCTACGTTTCCCGAAGATCCAGTCAATGATTTCAACGTTCAGACGTGAGTAAGAGACGTTAAAATTAAAACTGTATACAACGTGTACATGAAACTCATAGAATACAACAAACTCATATAATACACAATAGAATGGCTGTCAACCTTATTTTGTACGAGGGTCGGCGTCGCCGTGAGCACACATACAAGCAATTACGTCATATTATCACTACTACAAACCCGATTTGCTGTGTTGACAGACTGAGTAAATTTAAACATTTTAGACTTTTGATTAATGTTCAAGATCGTCATTTAAAAAAATCGTTTAAATTTTAATACATATTTATTTGTAAATAGTGTGCAATTTGGCATTTTCTAAATAATTTGCATGCGAAATTTGGAAACGATTGTAACGTCAAATAACATCTCGTGTTGACAGTTATACATGTGAATTGGCATGTTAGTGACATTTTAGTGGCTACACGAGCTCCGCCCACTGCCCCGTTCTATTATATATGTATTATAGTATTCTATGGTGAAGCTTAGTTGTGTCATCTTCGTAATTGCGTAGTTGGTCGATGATAAGAGAAGGGCTGGTTTTTCGTTTATAATTTTTTGTTGAAGCGACAGTAGCCTAATGGCAGGGCGCGGACCGCGAACTCAAAAAGGTCGTGGGTTCGAATCCGCCATTCGACTACTGGCGTTAACCACTCGTAACACAAGCAATTTAAGCTTACCACGAGTGGTTAAGGGGAATATTAGTAATGTTTATAGCATTGTTAATATTCTTTAAAAAAAATCCTTATGCTATCCTAGTACATAAGCGCCTTCTATGTTTCAATATTCGTAAGTGCATATTATTAGTTAGATTATCTTTATATGTAAAAATAATATGCTGTCCGTAAGTCTCGCAAAACCCGAAAATGGCTGGACCGAGTTTGATGACTTTTTGTGTGTATTTGAGTGGATCTGAATGGTTTAGACTTACAATTGGACTTGTTAGGTGGCGCTGTTGTCGTGATCTAGGAAATCACATGTGCGAAGCCGGGGGGGGGCTGAAGCGGGGGGGATCGCTAGTATAATTATAATATTTAACATAAAGTTGTTAAAACTTAATTTGCTTCTTACCGCGTAATGAAATAAAATGGTGTGTACTGTCCAGTTCGAAGAGAGCCTCTCGGCTTCCTCAATTGCGCACCTAGTGAACAGCTATGTGCGCAATTGCGTAGTACAACTAGGAAAGTGATGTTTGGTCGCATGACCGATGTGGGGAGTAGTTGCGTCAGCGAGTTGTATAAATAGAGGTCAGCCACCGCAGTCCACTTCACCTGACGATGCCACGTGTAGAGGCGAAAGGCGAATGCTACACGCGTGATATTTATCACGATCCTTGGATCGCGATCCAGGATCATGATATTTATTGAACGTGTAGTATCAAGTATTGATGGATCGCGATACGGATCACAGACTTTTTAAAAATCCATATCGCGAAATCGCGAACGAAAGCGAGAATCTTGTGATATAATCCATCAAAAATATTTACAGGATTTTATATTACTTTTACTAATCCGATAATAAAATCCGATAACGGTCTCGGTGTTCTTCATGATTCCAAATTGATATTTGACGTTCACTTAGGAAGCATTATAACCAAATCTACGAAAGCTCTTGGATTTTTGATGCGTAGCTCTAGGGACTTCACTAAAGCTAAAACTCTAAAGATCCTATATTGTTCTCTTGTAAGAAGTAATTTAGAGTACGCATCTCAAATCTGGAACCCCAGGTATGCAACATATATTACCCGACTTGAAAATATCCAAAGTAAGTTTATGCGTTACCTCCGTTATAGAACCAATGACTATCGCTATACCTCAGATAATTATATTAGTTATTGTAAAAAACATCACCTTCTTCCTCTTGCTATGGCGTCGTGAGATTGCTGACCTCACTTTTCTCTTAAAAATAGCTTGTAGTGCTATTGACTGTCCTGAGCTTTTATCTCAACTACATGTTAGCTGTCCTGCCAAACCTCTTAGATACAACAAAATTTTAATTCTCCCGTTTTCATCTACAAGTTATAGGCAAAATACATTTATATGGCGAGCGAGCAATAATTTCAATAAGTTAGCCAATGAGTTTGACTTCGATTTGTTTAACACTAGTGCTGCGTCAGCTAGGCGCATACTTAACAATGCATTTTTATGCTCTAAGTGAGATATGGATGCGATGCTACACAACTATGATTTACTTTTGTATTTGTGTTTATTTTTCTGTTAAAAATAGCTTGTAGTGTTATTGACTGTCCTAAGTATGAGTTGATTATCTTTTATATGTATGATACAAGTTTAGCTCTCATTTGGCATAAATATGTTGTATTGGATACTTTCGAGTGTTAAATCGTATTTATCACTGTTGTAAATTCACCTTTGTATCTATTAGTGAGGATCTTTAATTGGCTTACTGTTGTTATTAGTACTATCGATCCTAATTATGACAGCTGTTGGTCTTCCAAATAAATTAAAATAAAAAAATAGATTAATAATACTAATGCTCAATGACCTCAATAGTGCCTCCCAACGGATAGGTCTTAAGATGAACATGGACAAAACAAAGATCATGTTTAATGTCCATGTCACACCTATGCCGGTAGTTGTTGGGAGCACTAAGCTCGAAGTTGTTGACGAGTATGTTTACCTGGGACAAATAGTCCGACTAGGTAAGTCTAACTTCGACCGAGAGGTCAATCGACGGATTCAACTCGGCTTGGCAGCGTTCGGGAAATTACGACACATCTCGTCAGGTATACCTCAAAACCTGAAAACTAAGTTGTACAACCAGTACGTGTTGCCAGTGATGACATATGGAACCGAGACGTGGTCCTTTACTGCTGGCCGTATGAGGACGCTCAAAGTCGCGCTCGGAGTTTCTCTGCGTGATAAACTTAGAAATGAGGATATACGCAGTAAAAACAGAGTGACCGACATAGCCCAACGGATTAGTAAGCTGAAGTAGCAATGTGCCGGCCATATAGCTGGAAGAACCGACAACCGTTGGGGGAAAAGGTTCTCGAGTGGCAGCCTCGTACCGGTAGGCGAGGTGTAGGGCGACCCCCACTAAATGGAGTGACGACCTGGTAAGACATGCAGGAAGTCGATAGATCAGGGCCATGCTTTGTGGAATTCCTTGGGGAGGCCTATGTTCAGCAGCGGACTTGTGAAGGTCTGTAATGATGATGATATTACTTTTGGAAACAACGCCCATATTATAGGACACACCGTGTGATGGTTTTAAAAACAATTGTAAGCGCATGGAGGCACTTCAGAAGTTACTACCAATATTTCTTCAATTACTGGGTTAAACAGTGGTACCGACTTAGATTTTATAATTGATTAAATATTAGTATTTGATCAATTATAAAATCTAAGTTGGTACCACTGTTTAGCCGACATTCTCGTTTGTAATATTATTGCCATAATGATGATAGCCACACAAGCTTTTTCTTCATTTCGTTCCATTTTAGATATGTCTGCACTTAACAGTTTTGTGCCCAATACTGACGTGATCTGTAATGAACGTTTAGGGTGTGTCGATATGGATCACGATACGTCATTCCAGATCGCGTCCCAGATCGTGATAAATATCACGCGTGTAGCATTCGCCTAACACGTGCATTACGAAGGTGGTCTTTCTTAGTGTGGTGGTCGTGCTGGGATTGTTGGTGACGTGGATAGTGTACGTTACTGAGCAAGGGCGGAAAAAAACAAATGACGTTCTAACAACTTTAATATATTAATGGATTTCCGCAAAGTAACGCCTAATTCTATTAATTATCTTAACATAAACTGTCACGCCCGTTACCCAGAGAGGTAGGCAGAGACTACGAACTTTCATTCGGTACAATCCTGGCACATCTCTCTCGCTTCTTTTACATTTGTGTATCTATTTATGTGAATGCTATTCTGTTTTAATTTGGATCATCTTCAAAATATCGTCAATTTGATCAATAAAATTTTGTCTAGGGCCTACCTTGCGGATTCTATCAATCACTTCTGCATCATAAACGCACTCTTTCATAATTCGTTCTATGAGTGCAAAAAAATAGCAAGAGTATAAAATATATATTTAAGACTAGATTTAGTAACTGCCCTAAGAGATGCAGGAAGCAAGGAGTTCAAGTGACTCAGTATCATTACAGCCTGTCATAAGTTGTAATGATGAATGTTGGTGATAGTATATAAAGAGAGACACGTAGGTGTCGCAGTGCTAATACACGAGTTAGTAAAGGGTGCTGTACAGCAGATGAGCAATAATGTTGCAGTGCAAAGCTGGGTGTGGGCTTGGTGTCGGGCCGCTACTCGTTCCCGGAGTCGGACGGTGCGCAGCGTGGCGTGTCCCCGCACATGTTCCGGCAGCTGGTGGGCCGCGGGCACCCCGAGTTCATGAGCAAGCGCCAGCAGGACGCACACGAGTTCTACCTGCATCTGCTCACGCTCATCGAGGTACGTCACACGTCACCTGCTTACGGATAGCACCTCATGGACTGTGATAGCAACTTTTCGAAGTGAAATTTTTTTAGAATCCTTATGATTTGAAACTCCATGAAACGAAAAAGTGACACTAAAAGGAGACAAACATATACACACTAAAAAGAGACAAATGTATACACATTTAATTCTGACACTGAAAAGAGAAACATATACACACTAAAAAGTGTCACTAAAAAGAGACAAATGTATACACATTAAAAAGTGACGCCAAAAAGAGACAAATATATACACACTAAAGAGCGTAACCACTCTCGGTCGAGTCATCCCATTCGTGCTGCAGCTATAGTGTAATTGCAATGTGGCTTAATCACGTTATTACGTGGGGCTGTATTGCTGCTCACTATTGCTATTTATTTCCTGTTTAACGCTGGTATTCTGTAAAAGCGCAGTTACTCTTGGTGGAGCCGAGCCATTGTTACTGCAACTGGTAGCGTGGCTCTAGCACGTGGTAACGGTTGTTCGCGTGTTGCCTCGCAGCGGAACAGTCGGCACCGCGCCAACCCGGCTGACTGCCTGCGCTTCGCGGTGGAGGAGCGGCTGCAGTGCGGGGAGTCGGGTGGCGTGCGCTACTCGCGGCGCGCCGAGCACCACCTGCCGCTGCCAGTGCCGCTGGCGCGTGCCACCAACCAGCCGCAGCTGCGCGCCTACGAGCAGCGCCGCGCGCACGTCGAGGCCAGCGGACAGCGCCTGTGAGTCGTACACACGCTACAAACGCTACACCACTGCCGCTGGCGTGCGCCACCAACCAGCCGCAGCTGCGCGAGCAGCGCCGCGCGCACGTCGAGGCCAGCGGACAGCGCCTGTGAGTCGTACACAACGCTACACCACTGCCGCTGGCGTGCGCCACCTACCAGCCGCAGCTGCGCGAGCAGCGCCGCACGCCACGCCGACGCCAGCGGACAGCGCCTGTGAGTCGCCCCTACATACGCTACACCACTGCCGCTGGCGTGCGCCACCTACCAGCCGCAACTGCGCGAGCAGCGCCGCGCGCACTGTTGAGGCCAGCGGACAGCGCCTGTGAGTCGTACACACGCTACACCACTGCCGCTGGCGTGCGCCACCTACCAGCCGCAGCTGGTAGGTGGCGCACACGGGCTACTGGTACACGGCACTGGTACACACGCTACACATGCTACAAGCGCTACACACCTTACACGCGCTACACGTGACACTGTCACTACCGCACGCACTCGCTGCACCTGATACTGTAGCAACATTGTCACACGCTAATTTAACAACGCCATACACACGCTACAATTCTACACACATAATTCTATTGTCGCATTATATTATTTACAGCACGCTATCAGGGCGACCGCTGAAAAAGGAATCCTGCGAAACTCTCCACCCTCATTAACTAGTGACAGCTTTCAAGTCAAGAGAACACAAAAAAAAAAAAAAAAAAAATATATATATATATATATATATATATATATATATATATATATATATATATATATATATATATATATATATAATAGTGCCATTGACCACACTGAGTAAGTTTTAAATGCTAGATTAGGCACGACAGTAACCAAGAGGTAGATTCGCATCCCCGACTTTTAAGTTCGCGGCTCTTAACCATCAAACTAGGGATATTATTTAACTATTTGCTACGCAATGTAATATTACTTATATTCTGTTTTTGTTTATCAAACTTGGAAGTATTGTGTATATATTTATCTTTGTGGTTTATAGATGCTATTTTACTCATGTTTTTGTATTTAACTTTGAAATGATAAAAAATTTAAAAATAAATTGGACAGTACAAGGTCCGTCACCATCACACACCAACTTTCAAGTGCAGTTAGCATAAGGTTACGATATCAAATAATTAACCATCTTACTGTTGTTCCAGGGACCCATCACAGATAGTTCGGCCACAAATTCCCTTCGAAGCTTGTCTCGAAAGCTTCATGAGGGAAGAGACCTTAGAGCAATTCTTTAGCAGCGCTGTCAACAAGAAAGTAAACGCAACTAAGTAAGAGTAACAACATACAAGAAGTGTAGAAATGTAGGAATTCAGACATATTCTGCTAAAATATGAATGTGCAACTTATATTATTTTTGTAGAATAACCCGGCTGGCAACATTCCCTGACTACTTACTGATCCAGCTGAAGAAATTCACCATTAAAGAGGACTGGACGCCGGCTAAGCTCGACGTCGCGGTAGACATGCCTTGGGAGGTAATTTTTTATTGCTATAATTCAGGCATCTAAAAGAACCATTAAAGAAATCTAAAATCACAAATTATTGTCATAATTACATAATTATTAGTAATCGACACTATCGTAGCCTTAACTTCATATTATCATTGTTTCAATTGGAAAATAATTTTTTGATAAAAAATAAAATAATTATAAACATAAATTCTTTAAGTAATCCAAAAAAATTATTTGTTATAAAAAGTAAATGCCGACTTGAAACAACTAAAAATAGAAAATAAGTTCACATTCTCAAGGAGCTCTGACATATTGTATAAGAAAATTAAAACTAACTCGTACTTATTAATTATTGGTATTGTTTACTAGCCAATAAGGGCATCCATAATGTTTTTGCCATCAGGGCAATGCTACTTAAGAAATTCCTGTGATGTATTTGACATGGTGGGGAAGTAAATGTGTTTAATAATGTGGTGTATGTAATGTAGGGAAAATGTTTAATTCTGAAATATTAGTTATATTTTATATTAAATAGATAAGAAATAAATAAACCAAACTATAACGGATATTCCCGAAAATAGAAAAATTAAGATAATAATTTAAAATGTGAAAAAAATTAAAGAGTAAACCACTGGGGCATTGTTTTGTGTAATTACACATACTAAAAATCGATAAAATGACATTTAAAATCACAACCTCTCAATTTTAATGACATTGTGTAATAAATAACTTCACCTCAGCATCACCTATCAACATCTGATGAGTAAAAGATTATTAAGTTTATTTACTGTATGTTATGTTGATTTACTCGAACAAATGCTCACAAACACATACATAATACATTCCTAATTCATGCTTAGCGTATTGAAAGGCTAATTGTTAACTTTATAAAGTCGGTCAGAATAAATCGTTACTAAAGAACAAACGCCTCTTTCTGTTAATTTCAAGTAAATCGAACAGTGTACCTTAACTACAGCAACACCGTTACATCATCATCATTTCAGCCCTTCACAAGTCCACTCCTGAACATTGGCCAAGCAATGCCACAAAGCACAATCCTGATCCACCAGCATCCATCGAATTCTTGCCAGATCGTCACTCCATCTAGTGGAACGCCCTACGTTTCATTTACTGGTACGAGGCTGCCACTCAAGAACCTTTGTTCCCTCAGAGCATTTATTTCTTGTAAGTTAAATACTTTTACTGTATCATATGTGCAGGTGGACCTCAGCTGCTTACGAGGCCGTGGACTGCAGCCCGAGGAGACGCAGCTGCCCGAGGCGGCTCCTGAAGTGCCTCCGCCGGTGTTCAACGAGGCTTTACTGACGCAGTTGGTATGGATTTGTTAAATCTTTATCAGCCAGTGAAAGTCTGGCCATGGATGCCTCTTCCTTTATTATAGAACAAGAGTAGCAAATGAGCACACAGTCCTATTCTCACTTAAGAATCATAATTCACGTGCGTTGTCATCCCTGAAGACTAATATGGAATGCCTCGTTCCTTCAGCCTACTGATTCGTTCCCCAATAGTAATTCCCACGAACATTCCGATCTCGATCTCAACTATGCCAACTTGCCATGTGGTGACGGCGTTAGAATCCATTACGCCATATCATGCCGTCGACGTCGTAAAAGCAGACTATGGTAATATCAGGAATTGTATGATCATCAATAGATGGTGATACAGCCATCTTGCTTACCACTATTGAACACGGGCCTTTCTCATCATAGAACACTATAATACACAATAGAACCGTTGTCAACTTTATTTTATACGAGGATTGGCGTCGCCAAACCCGATTCACTATGACAGACTGAATAAATTTACACATTTTAGACTTTTGATTAATGTTCAAGATCATCATTAAATGTTAATACATATTTATTTGTAAATAGGGTGCAATTTGGCATTTTCTAAATAATTTGCATGCGAAATTTGGAAACGATTGTAATGTCAGAACACATCTCGTGTTGACATTTATACGTGTGAATTGACGTGTTAGTGACATTTTAGTGGCTACGAGGGCTCCGCCCACTCCCCCGTTCTATTATGTATGTATTATAGTATTCTATGTTTCTCGTAGATTGCCCCATAGGGAGGATATTTGCCGTAGTTGCCATGCTCGGCAGGCAAGTTGTTTTTTTTTTTTAGGTATTAGGAGGGCGATGTTGCACATCTCCTGATAAGTTTTTGATGCCTCTTACGACACGATATTCTTACACCACCACTGCACAATAAATATGCTTACGTCAGACATAAAATAAGTACACCGGCGAGGTGGGGGCAACGTCAGTGATGCGACACGTCTGGGTTCGTGGTCGTCAATTCGCTTGCCAAACCTGCCAATTATAGTAAATCCTCTTTACAACTATAGTGACCCATATCAGATTTTGCGGTTTTCGCAAACTAAAACGAAGAAGACGAGTCTGATTTAATGTAATTTAGTAACTATGTATAATGTAACTAGTCTTTATGGCACAAGAACATATTGAAGACACATAGAACTCTTCAAGACAATTCCGTTTGCTTTGAGCAAATGGTATTGATATTTTGGTATAGACTCTTCATTGGTAACTAGGCATTAAGGTCGCTGCGTACGTAACGTGTTTTATTTCGGACGGAGCGGGAAGTCAAATTTTGGAAATATCATTTCATAGAAAATGTACGTGAAAATACATATGTTATCGAGGCATGGATAAGACGGCGACGGCGGTCCCGCCCCGCACGCACCATGTCCGTCCGTGGTTCTGCTATGTATGCATAGTCGCTCTGTTGAATTCTTCAAATGAAAAATCCATCTTTCACGACACTAGCACTGCTATATATAACAGGTTAGTTTCAGGTCATTATCACGGTGCGTATGCATTAAACTTTCATCCGTGTTGACATGACAACCACGTTCTGTCTCCGTCCCGTGCACGTGCTAATTTCGTCCTGTATGTGGCGACTTTTAGTCCTCAGGGGACATAACACATCCACATATTGATTCTTAGTCGAGGATCGATGTCCATCAGGTGGACTGTCTGCTAGTTTATAACCCTTTTCTATAAAAAGAGCGACTAGATGTTCATTGGTGTTCACTCTATGAGTGTTTTAATGGTTACGGGACCATATGTTATGTAGTATTTGATGCAATATTGTGTACATATATATTTTTTATTTTATTGATAGAACCACCAACGAAATAACATGTTGTTTTGAAAAAAAATGTGACAATAGGCTTAGGAACTAAGATTTACATGTTTCGATTTAAAGGTAGTTACAGCATGTTCAAAAAAGACGATAACTGTACGATAACTTAATAATTGTTACAAGGACGAGTAAAATACTAATAAAAAACAATCAAAAACAATTAGACAATACGAAATATATGAAAAAAATATATAAAAATAACAACATTTATATCGAGTTTACATAAAGTTATGGTATAATTTTTACTATGAGTTATTAAATAGATTGACAATTTTGGCTCTAAAAGATTTTATACTATCGCTAAATAGGACAATAGTCTTATCTTTAAGGACACATTCTTTATACAACGGTATAAGAGAGTGATGACCAAGATTAGTTTTATACAATTTGTGTTTGAGTGAAGAAAATCGAAAAACGCGGTACACGGCAGGGAACTTTGAACAATATTTGTGATAGTAATTCTGCAGAATCTATAGTCCCATTTGTAAGCTTGTACAAAAAAACTAAATCATGTAGTTTACGTCTGTCCGATAGTGAGTTTAATTTTAGTTTTAGGAGACGAGTGGAATAAAATTCCATATGATTACCACTAGAACAATATTGAGTGAATCGTCTTTTGAATGCTTTCTATACGATCTTTGTGTATTTGATAATTAGAGCTCCATATGATGGTGCCGTACTCTAATTTACTTCTAACTAAGGAAGTGTAAAGAAGTTTTTTGTTTTGATTTTTTTAAAACATTTTGAATTCCTGTATAAAAACCCAAGCATTTTGCGTGCCTATCTACAAATATTTTCAATGTGAATATTAAATCTTAATTTAGCAACATTTATTGAGTATGTGACATTTTTAGTTAAAAAAAAATTCCTAATGATATTTAATAGTCTTGATTATTATTGTTGTTAATACGTAATTTAATTGCTAGTGTTTTTGTTCTTCTGCGACTACCACTATATTTCATTGCTTTCACTACGCTCTGGGTTGCCTATGTGAGAATGCCATAAGGCATTAAGTGTGCACTTTGTAATCTTAATATTGAACTTGAGAGCAATAAAGCACAAATAAAAAAGTAACTATATTGTTTATCTTGCCCCTTTTACAGTTGGACATGGGTTTCCCGTTGGAAGCGTGCAAGAAGGCGCTATACTATACGAACAATTCAGGCATGGAAGCTGCCTCTAACTGGTTGATGGAGCATATGACAGACTGGGACTTCGCTAATAAATTCGAACCACCAGGTTCACAATCCACTGGTGAGATTTTTATTTTATAGTCAAAAACATGCATATTAGTGTAATCAGCGTAGCTTCTTTCTGTCAATTTTCTCAACTGAGGACTACCAAAACTCGCATTACTTTTCGTCAATGTATTTGAATAAACATTTTTTAACTTCTCGCTATGAAAATCAATGCTTTTAACACTCCATTAGTCGCGCGTTCTACTATTGTAGAATAGGCATGCATTTCGTGGGATTTTAACATTAATTGTGGGTGTCTAATGCACACACTCATAGTATTCCTCTACTACTAGCTGGTGATCACAATTAGTACCCTTTCGGCAAACTGCGCGATCGCACTTGTTAGAAATTTCGCACTAAAACTAAAATTCTACAATAGTAGAGCGCGCGAGCACTCGCGTGTCATTTTTGTCGGAAGATTACCTATCGTTTTTATTTTATGTAAGTGTTTATATTATGTATAAATATTGTTATTATGAATTTTTTTTGTTTGATAATATTATTTTTAACCGAAGTAACTATATTTCGCACAAAGATGGCACATATTTTGAGATGGTTGTAAGAAGTTATTACTGATGAAGCAACCAGCAAAGTATGGGATAAACATATTTTTACTAACGGATACAAAGGTACCTTATGCCTACCATATGGAAATATACGCAGGTACTCAGCAAGATGGTCCTTATGCACAATCAAATAAAGTTGTGGACATTGTGCTACGAATGCTTACCCCATTGGATGGTTTAGGTTATAACGTCACAATGTAGTATCTTACATGCCAAAATCAAAGAAAATGGTGCTTATATACTCAACTATGCACTATGATGATCATATCGATTTACAAACCGCAAACGTAAGCCGGAAATAATAACTTTTTACAACAATACCAAATATGGCGTGGACATTGTAGACAAAATTTGTAGTATTTATGACGTCTCCAAAAACTCTAGGCGATGGCCACTTACCATATTTTTAATTTAATGAATAAAAGTGCTATAAACGGTTATATTGTACATACAATAAACAAGGACTACAGAAATAAGGCCAGGAAGGATTTTTTTATATGAATTTGGTTTTCACCTAGTCGCGCCATGCATACAACGCAGAATAAATATTGAAAGTATTCCAAAATCGTTGAAAATGAAAGGGAAAATACTTTTGGGCATGAATGAGCCATCGGAATTACAACCATGCCCAGCACAACTCCCCAACACTGGTCGAGTCGGGAAATGTTCCTTTTGTGACAGAGCGCGCAATAAGTCCACTAGGAAACAATGTGACACCTGTAAAAAGTGGATTCGTCCTAAACATCAAGTTCTTCAATGTCTTGACTGTTTTAAAAATGATAAAGACCGTGTGGAAGATATGAGCGAGTAAAAAAAGGAGACTGAGAAGGTTTGATGCCAAAAAATCATTGATTTTTCTCAAAATTCACAAGAAGTCTGATATTAAGTGCCTAATAAATGGTAACAGTTATGTTTCGTCTAATTTATGTTCTTATTAAAGTTTGTTTTCATATGATATTGAAGTATTTTTATATTTGTTTATTGTTCCTGTAAAATCTTTACACAAAATAGTTCTACATATGTGGAGCGCGCGAGCACTCGCGTCCCAAACAGGGGCGCAAAAATAGGTGGAGTGTTAAAAAAATCGGGATGTTATTGGTTTCACCCGTTTTCTAAAATAGAGGTTTCATCAGATCTCGACATTTCAAAGTCCTAGAAAGCAGTGGCGGCCCTAGCAAAATTTTAGGTGGTGCGAGATCTCATAGTGGGGCCCCTCTAAACACTAAAACCTTAGTGTTCCTATACTATGCAGCTGCTTATTCGTGATTTTAAATAGTATTGTTGCGTGCTATAATTAGCGCCTGGTATGTGGCGGCTGATTATTAGCGCCATCTGGTATCAAGCAGCAGAAATAGGAGCGTAAGATCTTTCTAGAACTATCCCACTAGCGCCATCTAGTATCGAATGGAAGAACTAAGCTTTCTAGAAAGCCCCACACTCGAACTTACTGCACCTGGTCGGTCGGGGCCGGTTTTTGCTAGAATATTCTGGATGTTTCGGTGGAAAAGGCCTATTTAAAGCCGTTTAGGGCCGTGACCGGGGCAGTATTGAATTTACGATACGAGCGAAGCTTTCGGAGTTAAATAAAGTGAACTAAGGTGTTAAGTGTGAATAATCATTAGTTTGATTTAAATTTTAATTGGTGTTCAGTAATTAAAGTGTCAATATTGGTAATTAATTCGGCAGTTTTTATTGTCACGACGAGCTCGGTACAGTATTGGGTCTGTCGCTCTTGCAGTGACTAGTTTGACAGATTATTTCTCATAATTAGTGTTAATAATCTTGTTTGACAACTTGTTGTTCTGCAGACAGTGTTAAAAAAGATAAAAGAACTCCCAACAACAAACCTAATGTAAAGCCTAGATAGTATAGAGTGATCTATGGCCTAGATGGCAAGCTTTCTGGCTTATGCGCTTGCAATTTTTTTTATTAATTAGGATTATTTTAACTTCCAGGCAACAGAATTTTCTATGAAAATATTCCAAGATAGCCTTTCCTGATACATAGTAGAAAAAAGTAGGTAAATTTTTGAATGTTTTAATGTAATAAAACTTCGTTTCCGTTTAGTGACAGTTTAGTACAGGTATAGTCATCAAGATACGAAGTGTTATCTACACATTTAGTAAAAATATCCTGCTAATCATTATTTTAATAAGTCTGTGAACTTTATCTTGAAATAATGGGTTCAAGCTCATAGGTTCCTAACCAATTTACAACTAGACAAATCATATTATGCCCATCTGTTCAACTGATTTGCAAATCGACATGGGTTATTTGACCGTTTATATCATGATCATAAAATTTTGACAGCTTAAGTCAAGTAACTAATGCACTTTGAATGATATCAATCACAGGTTAAAAAACATTAATTTCAAACAATTATTTAGGATCAGTTAGTGTCTCACTTATGTCTATGTACACAAATAATATTTTCTTTCTTTGATATCGGGCTGGCTTAAAAATTGGATCTGTTATTAGAGCAAATGAAAAGGCTCGGTACTGTTTCAAAATTCTGACAAAATTTTCAGACAATACCACACCTTTGGTAAATCCATAGATTCAGACTGCATAGCTTTTTTTGCGCAAGCAGCTATGGAGGTCTAGAAAGACCATCGTTGCGACCTAAAAGATCTATTGTGATCGCTGCTATGACTATAGTTCACTGTTAAGCCCTATGTCTTCAATGAATAGGAGTTGCTTACCTGTGAGCAATTTCACTTCTTCTCAGCGAAGTAGATAGTTTCCCAGATATGTTACGTTTGCGCATTAAGGGCCCACAATCAGTCAGGATGTGCAGAGACAATTCTTCCGTTAAGGAACAACCGGCACATCCTTAAATTGCTTAGTGCCAGGATGACCATCCTATACCTTTAAACGAGCAATTCTTGTATATATATAATCGGAATCTCAGAAACGGCTCCAACTATTTTCATAAAATTTAGTGTCCAGGGAGTTTCGGGAGCAATAAATCGATCTAGCTAGGATTTATTTTTAGAAAATGCCCTTTTGTCCGTGTTTTCAGGCAATAAAAAAACCCCTACAATATAAGAAGGTAAATTTTGACAAATCACTAACGATCGTAATAGCTCAGGTGAGATTCGATGATATCGAAGTTCCGTGGTTCGCGTCCTGTCTCTGGTTCGGCTTTTTTTCCTTTTTTTTTTTCAAGTTCCCTTCTTTTGTGAGAAAATCTATTATTTCAAGCTCTTTTTTTTTAGTATTTTTTAAAAATACGAAAATTTTAATAAAACTAATTGCACTCATGATTTTTTTATTATTCAGTTAAGCAGTTCAGTTTTTTCTATTCTGTCAATAAGATCAAAAAGTATTATTTATGTTTCATCAGTATGTAATTTATAAATGTAATTAAAAAAAAAAACGAAAAAGCTCGGTCTCTTGCCAAATGCGCAGTTTATTTTTATCTAATCCCAGGGCTTCTGAAGCGAATATACGATCAAAAGCCCGGATTAAGAATTTAAAATGTTTTAAGCCTGGTGTATCAGACCAGATCTTAAGTGATTTATTGTGATAAAGAGTTTCAAGGGTCAATCGGGCTAGGCTTTTTGAGATTCCACAAAATGGCTCGGTTCCAAATTGTGTGCTCTTTATACCCTCCTGTGCGAGCTCATCGGCAAGTTCGTTGACTACAATACCCGTGTGGCATCAAATCCCCCTTAAAACGACCCTGTTGTCACATCCCAAGGCGTTGTTTACACAAGTTTATGTTTACAAAATAGCCCCTCGAAAGAAAAACCTTACGAGAGAAGAGACATTTGTAAAAAAAGAGAAGTAGAACGTCGACGTTACGAACGAAGACTCGATCAGTCTGGTTTCGGCTTTCTTATAAAAATAAGAAGCGACTGGGTTGGCGTAAAGAAACAGGCATAAATATGATAAACCTAATGAAATAGGTATCTAACGACCTATCTACTTACAGTATTAGTTATTACAAACATGTCGGTACATAGTATACGAAGCGCGGGGAAGTGGGGGCTAAATTAAAATTAGAGCTGAGGTTGTATAGGCCCTTAATGTAATGATTATTTATTCATCACATACTGACTTAGTTATGGAAATAAATTTTCGTTAATGTATTTAGTTGGTGTAGTAAATTATATTTATTTAAAAATAGCTTATTTTTCACTTCATGAACTACGATGGCAACACTTGGTATTTTACGAAAATATTCGAAAAATACGAGTTTTAAGGATAATCTTATGTTAAAAATATTCACAGATGAAAAGTCACGTTGTCCTTTTGTAGTTGATAAAAGTCACGTTTAAGTTTTGTAGCGTTATTGAGTGTTTTTTGCATGAAAATACATTGCAATTAGGCATTTTGTCGGAGCTCGATGAACAGGCACGATCACTTGCGGAATGACGCACGACGCGGAGCAACTAGTTTTATATAACGGGTATGAGTCGGACTCTCGTACCTTTGAGAGAGAGAGAGAGATATGCCTTGCGATGCCGCCTCCTTTGGTTTAATACTCGAAAGCTTGATACCATAAAATAAGAAATGAGAATAAAGATAACATAAGAATGAAAATATGGCTTAAAAGACAAACATTCAAGCTAAAATTCTTAAAAAGTAATTAATTTTAAAAGACAAACATTCAAGCTAAAATTCTTAAAAAGTAAATGAAAACATGGCTTAAAAGACAAGCATCCATGCTAATAATCTTTAAAAAGAAATAAAATATTCGACTAAAATTAGTAAAATATTTCGTGGAATTGAAAAACTGCGCGAGCGAAAATTTTAGACATGGGAAAGTAATAAATAATTAAAAGATCGAAATAATTTTTAGTGTTATGTGGAAACAATTAATAAACACAATGATAAGTGACTGTATAAATTATTGACGTTTCAATTAAAGGTAAAAATACAAAGTAAAAAATCTGATTCGGAAATGTATAGACTAGTCTCACGTCTGCACGTTTACACACATACATATGTTGAATGTGTACTTGGCGCGACACACTACTCTTTTTCTCCTGATTCGGAAATTTTGCCCATCAGTTATATTTTGTTATATTTTACAAATACTTTCGAGGATAGCTTCTATTCCACTAACACAAAACACGATATTATTTACCAGACTATAAAAAAAAAGTCACCCAGCATATTATTTGAATGACAGTAAAGCATATTTGATGTTGTTTTCGGTGTACAGATGGCGCCAGCGGGCCAGTGGACGAGACTAATGTGCAGAGCATCATCAGCATGGGTTTCACTCGTGCTCAAGCCGAGCGCGCGCTGCGGGCCACCGGTGGCGACGTGGGGCGCGCGCTTGACTGGATCTTCAGCCGCGCCGACCAGCTCGACGCCGAGCAGGCGCCCGCGCAGCCCGCCCAACCCGACCGCACGCTCGGTTGCCGCGACGGACCCGAGAGTGAGTGCTCGCCTTATACTGTCTGGTTCCTCAGCCGCGCCGACCAGCTCGACGCCGAGCGGGCGCCCGCTCAGCCCGACCGCACGCTCGGTTGCCGCTACGGATCCTAGAGTGAGTGCTCGCCTTATACTGTCTGGTTCCTCAGCCGCGCCGATCACCTCGACGCCGAGCGGACGCCCGCTCAGCCCGACCGCACGCTCGGTTGCCGCTACGGATCCTAGAGTGAGTGCTCGCCTTATACTGTCTGGTTCCTCAGCCGCGCCGACCAGCTCGACGCCGAGCAAGGCGCCCGCGCAGCCCGACCAATCTGACCGCACGCTCGATTGTGCGATGGACCTTAGAGTGAATGCTTGCCTTATACTGTCTGGTTCCTCAGCCGCGCCGACCAGCTCGACGCCGAGCACGCGCCCGCGCAGCCCGCCCAATCCCACCGCACGCTCGGTTGCGCGATGGACCCGAGAGTGAGTGCTCGCTTTATACTGTCTGGTTCCTCAGCCGCGCCGACCAGCTCGACGCCGAGCGGGCGCCCGCGCAGCCCGCCCAACCCGACCGCACGCTCGGTTGCCGCTACGAACCCGAGAGTAAGTGCTCGCCTTATACTGTCTGGATCCTCAGCTGCGCCGACCAGCCCGACGCCGAATATCCTAAATTAACTTACACCACTCAACAGCTAAAAGATAAAGAATTTGTTACGTTGAGTGGCGAAAGGGGAAGCGCCGCAATTTTGAGCTCGTTTCGTACGTACACATATTCACGTAAAATACGCGGCCGTGTCCATAACACAGCCACACCCCTATTTTTTTTTTTGAGGTAGAAGCTTCTTTAGGCACGTTGGTCGCTATTGGGATGGGGAAAATTACTGAACTCGCGTGGCCGTCACGCTCAGATCAAGGATTTAAATAGTTAGATGCGCCCTTACCATAGTATGACCACTCCGAAATGTGTCCATTCTCAAATGAGTGAGTTCACTCATTCGCAATCAGTGTTCATTTGTGCGACAGAGAAAGTAGTAGAATACACAATTTCTGTAAGATAATAAGAGATGACTCTATTGCATTAGTGTGCGCGCGTCAGCGTCTTGCAAAGGAACACATCCAAAAATAATGCCACAGTTTCCAAGGTGAAGGCGCATCTAACTATATAAATCTTTGGCTTGGATACATAAAATTGATGAAAGGTACGTTGAAAATCCAATTGATAAAATTTACACGTAAAAATAACGCAATAAATGAAAATTTTATTACAATATTAATACGTTGATAAAAACAATTTCTAATAAAAACACCAACTTTTCTTAACATATCAAAAATAGTGTTTACAAGTTTGTGAAGCTAAGAAGATTTCACTTCAAAAAAAAATTTTCTTTGATTATGGACTCGTACGATTATACTTTTGCCAGTGTCCAGTAACAAGAAATAATCATTTAAATAATATTTTGTTTCAAAAACTTCTTCACAATATGCGTCACATTGAGAAGTTCTTAAGAGATTTTGACGACAGCTAAACCCAATGCGATGACGACAGTATCTCATATTCTTGAGGTGCAACATCGAAGCACTTGTTTTGTCGTTTCCGCTAATAGTTCACATGCGCAGACACTAAGTACACAAAATCGCATCACTTAAACGTATCAAAACCCAATTTCCAAACATATAGGTACACAAATTTAATTGTATGAATATTACATTGTCTCTTTCTTATGCTTTAAAAAAAAGAGTTGAGGTTCTCGCTGGTTCTTCCCAGAACAGAGATTTATTTCCACAATAGTGGTAAAATTAAAAAAACGACTCTATAAGAATTACATGTAATTAATATTGAATTAAAAAAGCTGGTTTGAGAAAATATTAGGCGAGAATGCAGTTGTCGTCATGGATAACGCGCCTTACTACTCAAGACAGGAACAAAAAAACACCCAGCTCAACATGGTTGAAGGCTAACATGCAGCAGTGGCCAAGTGACAAAAATATTAGTTTCTATGAAAAGGAAATAAAAATACAATTATTAAATAAAGTAAAGATGGTGAAGGACCAATATCAATTATTATACGTCGTAGATACGATTAGCAAAGAAATACGGCGTCGAGGTACTAAGACTTCTTTCTCCCTTATCATTGTTAATTAAATCCCGTTGAGTTGATTTGGGCTGATGTAAAGGGGCACGTAGCTAGAAACAATATTACGTTTAAATTTGATAAAATTAAGGCATTAAGACCTCAATGGTGTCTCCCAACGGATAGGTCTTAAGATGAACATGGACAAAACAAAGATCATGTTTAATGTCCATGTCACACCTATGCCGGTAGTTGTTGGGAGCACTATGCTCGAAGTTGTAGACGAGTACGTTTACCTGGGACAAATAGTCCGACTAGGTAAGTCCAACTTCGACCGAGAGGTCAATCGACGGATTCAACTCGGCTGGGCAGCGTTCGGGAAATTACGACACATCTTCTCGTCAGGTATACCTCAATCTCTGAAAACTAAAGTGTATAACCAGTGCGTGTTGCCAGTGATGACTTACGGACGGATCTGAGACGTGGTCCTTCACTGCTGGCCGTATGAGGACGCTCAAGGTCGCTCAGCGAGCTATGGAGAGGGCTATGCTCGGAGTTTCACTGCGTGATAGACTCAGAAATTAGGATATCCGCAGTAAAACCAGAGTGACCGCCATAGCCCAACGGATTAGTAAGCTGAAGTGGCAATGGGCCGGCCATATAGCTCGAAGAACCGATAACCGATGGGGAAGAAAGGTTCTCGAGTGGCAGCCTCGTACCGGTAGGCGTAGTGTAGGGCGACCCCCCACTAGATGGAGTGACGACCTGGTAAGACATGCAGGAAGTCGATGGATGCAGGTGGCTCAGGACCGTGCTTTGTGGCATTACTTGGGGGAGGCCTATGTTCAGCAGTGGACTTGTGAAGGGCTGTAATGATGATGATGATGATGAAGGCATTAAGTGACGGTATGGCGAAAGTCACAACTGATCGGTGGAAGAAATGTGTGGAGCATGTTCAAAAAGAAGAAGATAAGTTTTTCAAACTTGATTTTATTGTAGATGACGTGACGAATTAATTTATTATACGTGTAACAGACTCTGATTCTGACTCTACAGTCTCAGAAGAATCGGCGTCTGACTGAATAAACAATGATTTCCTCAAAAAACCACTGGCACACAGTTGTTAGGCAAGCGATATTAGGAAACATTATTATTATTCTCGTTATTTTATTTAAATCTACATTATAAAATAATTCAAATAATAACAAAAGTTATAAAAAGTCTATTTTTTTGGTTTGCTAGACATTTTTTAAAACTATATTGGCTACTTAAATATATAATCTAACTATCTAAAAGTTACGCACCCCTGCTATTTCTAATAACTTTGCATTGGTTTTATTTACATTTGGTATTGCCTCTCGTTGGCCGTACTTTAGACTTACCTTACAAACTTTACCAGTAATACATTTCTATTACAGAGTACAAATTGGTGGCGTTCATATCGCATATGGGCACGTCGACCATGGTCGGCCATTACGTGTGTCACGTGTTGCACGAAGGACGCTGGGTCATATTTAACGACAATAAGGTAATATTACGTACTACGCGTGCGGTTAACCTATATACTCTACATAATCTGTCGCTATATATATTTATATATATTCACACCCACTGTTAGACTGCAAACAGTGGTAGAGCCACGCGGCAGCTTTGCTGTTGCACGTATGGGCCGGCTCAAACCGGGGTGGTACCACGACCTCACAGAATACCGGCGTGAAGTGGAAGCTCTGCTTCCGCGTTTCGTCTGGTGAGTGCAGGTGGCCGGAGGCCCAAATCCCCCCCCCCTCTCCCATCAACATGGTAGCGGAATTAAATGATGATAGACTACCCCAGGAAGGTGCCAGCACCCCTGGAGAATCCTTCGCTGAGCATCCACGACGCTCCTGAGCATGGGTGCTCAGGCTGCCCCGCATATTCTGGGGGGGGGGGGGGCAAAATTCCGCTCAAGACTGCAACTGCTCTGGTCAAACGGAGCAACAAGACCAGGGCGACCCCTGCCATGCTATCCGTGAATTTCTGCAATATCAGGGGACTTCACTCTAACCTAAACGCCGTCCACTACCATCTCGAGACGGCGAGGCCGGCTCTGCTCTTTCTGACCGAGACGCAGGTGTCCTCTCCGGCTGATGTCTCGTATCTCTCCTACTCGGGGTACAAACTGGAACACACCTTTGTGCCTCGGGCTGGAGTTTGCGTTTACGTCAGAGAGGACATCTGTTCTCGACGCCTCGGCAGTCTTGAAGGTTCGGACCTGTCCATCCTTTGGCTACGCGTAGACAGCGACGACCATCCGCGCGTCTACGGGTGCCTCTATAGGTCCCATAGCGGTAATGCCGAAACAGACCAACTCTTCGACCACGTCCAAATGGCTACAGATTCGTTGCTACAGCAGATCCCCTCCGCAGAGATCGTGATCCTCGGCGACTTTAACGCCCATCACGCCGATTGGCTTGGTTCACATTTAACCGATCATGCGGGGAGATGGTTACTTCGCCTACACGGATTCCAGATGTGGAGGATCATGCAACTTCCCTGTTGGACCTTATGCTGACCTCTCACCCGGACGGATATCAGATTTCCGTCGACGCCCCTTTAGGCTCCTCGGACCATTGTCTGGTCCGGAGTGTTGTGCCACTCACGCTGAAATCGCAGTTGCATTCTGCAGGCTGCCGCCGTGTTTGGCACTATAGGTCAGCCGACTGGGATGGGATGCGGTCTTTCTTTGCATCCTACCCTTGGGGGCGGGTTTGCTTCTCGCCGGACGATCCCAACGTTGTTGCGGATTCTGTCGCTGATGTGGTACTTCAGGGTATGGAACTTTTTATTCCTTCCTCTGTGGTGCCCATTGGAGGCAATTCTCAGCCATAGTTTGGTCGCTCCTGTAAAATAGCATCATGCTATAAGCAGGAGTACTACCAAGCCTGGGCTGACGCATCAACGTCCCGGGATGTAAACACCAGCGCTCTAAAAAAGAAGTATAATTCCGCCTCTAGGTCCTTCAAAAGAGTCATTGCCAAGGCAAAGTCAGAGCACATGGGCTGGATTGGCGAGAAACTAGTTCGCCTTCCTTCTGGAACCCGTGCATTCTGGTCTCTCGCCAAGGCTGTCCAGGGGATTTTTTGTCAGCCATCTCTTCCATCTCTGCACAGGGAGGACCAGTCACTGGCCCATACCGCAAAGGAGAAAGCCGATCTGCTAGGCTCTTTCTTTGCGTCCAACTCGACTCTCGATGACGGGTGGAGTACGCTGCCGACCATCCCGCGGTGTGAGTGCTCCATGCCGGAAGTGCAGTTTACACAGCTCTTGGTTCGCAAAGCACTCCACTCCCTGGACATCCACAAGTCGAGTGGGCCTGACGGAATCACCCCAATTGTGCTAATAACGTGTGCTCCAGAGTTGGCACCGATTTTAACGCGTCTTTTCCGGTACTTCTACTCCCTAGGCGTAGTCCCAAAATCATGGAAGACGGCTTTCGTCCACCCGATCCCTAAAAAAGGCGATCGCACAGACCCGTCCAACTACCGGCTTATCACCATCACCTCCTTGTTCTTCTAAACAATGGAGTCTATTGTTAACTGCCAGCTCATGAGGTACCTTGAGGATCACCAGCTGATTAGTGATCGCCAATACGGTTTTCGCCGTGATCGGTCAGCTGGTGATCTTCTGGTCTACCTAACTCACAGATGGGCGGAGGCAGTAGAGTCCAAGGGAGAGGCATTGGCCGTTAGTTTGGACATTGCGAAGGCTTTCGATCGGGTTTGGCACAAAGCGCTTCATTCGAAGCTCCCTTCCTATGGGCTTCCCGAGAAATTGTGCGATTGGATCACCAGCTTTCTTGAAGATCGGAGCATCAAGGTCGTTGTAGACGGTACAAGCTCCGATTACAAGCCTATTTAATGCTGGTGTTCCACAAGGCTGCGTGCTATCGCCAACGCTGTTTCTTCTGCATATCAATGATATGTTGCAAACCCGTAACATTCATTGCTATGCAGATGACAGCACTGGCGATGCTCTTTACACCGGCCGTGCCAATATTTCTCGGGAAAACGTCTCCGAGTACCGGGACAAACTTGTGTCTGAGGTCAGTCTTTGCTGAACAGAGTCTCGGATTGGGGGCGACTAAATCTAGTCCAATTTAACCCCCAGAAGACACAAGTTTGCGCGTTAACCGCTAAAAAGAACCCCTTTGTCGTATCTATCTCCTCAGTTTCAAGGCCACTTCCTTGTTTGTTGTTTGTTGTTCCCTTGTTGCCTCAGCCAGTATCGGTATCCTCGGCGTCGACATATCGAGTGACGTGCAGTTTCGTGGTCTCTTGGAAGAGAAGGCCAAATTGGCCTCTAAAAAGCTTGGCGTGCTCAGCAGAGCGGGACAGTATTACATGCCGGCACACCGCCTGCAACTTTACAAGGCGCAGGTTCGGCCGCACATGGAATACTGTTCCCATCTCTGGGCTGGAGCTCCCCAGTACCAGCTCTTTCCACTTGACCGCATCCATCGCAGAGCGGCTCGAATCGTCGACGACCGAGTGCTTTCCGATCGGCTCGATTCACTGGCGCTGCGAAGAGATGTTGCATCTCTTTGCATTTTCTTTCGCATATACCATGGGGAGTGCTCTGAGGAATTGTTCGGATTAATCCCAGCCGCCAAATTTCGTGAACGCACTACGCGGCAAACGTCCCGATACCATCCACACCATCTGGATGCTTGGCGGTCCACCACTGTACGTTTCAAAAGGAGTTTGCTTCCGCGTACGACCTCTCTGTGGAATAGTTTATCACCGGCGATTTTTCCGGACCGATACGACTTGGGGACCTTCAAGAAAAGAGCTTACTCCTTTCTAAAGGGCCGGCAACGCACCTGCAATTCCCCTGGTAATGCGGTTGATCATGGGCGGCGGTAGTCACTTAACATCAGGTGAGCCGTATGCTCGTTTGCCCCCTTCTATAAAAAAAAACGTTACGTTTGGTTGCGATTTCCGCACGCTCTATAACTTCAGTCCAACTTGTCATTGAAAGGATAACAAAATGACATAAACTCAAACAAAAAATTCAGTCCAGTCTTGCGATTTTTTCAGTCTGAATTTGTGAGTTACGTACGACGCGTTCTGAGAGTTTTATTTATAATTATTATTGATTTTGTTTATTAATATTTTTGTACAAAATATTTGCATGTCATTGAGACGTGTGACATGAGTGTAACTCATTTTTAAAATTTTAGTTTGTCTATCTGTCCCAGCTAATCTTCGAAATGACTGAACCGATTGTAATAAAACTTCGCGAACAAATAGATAGTAATACCAGGAGTGAATAGACTAAATTTTATTCGAAAAAATTATGCCATCAAAATCATAACTTGTAAAAAAAACCAAGTCTCGCAACTCAGTTGTTCTACCATAAAAAGTTGTGAGATCCATGTAATACCAAGACGGTTAATTTATTCAGTTCCTACTTAAGGGTCCTTCTGTTTTAAGTTATTACGTAATTAGCTAACCTAACAACATTTTATAGTGACCATAACAATGTTAAGAATCTTGTATGTTTTAAATATATAGATTGACTTGGCCATAGCATGAAAACACAATGTATCTCTCAAGTAATACATATTATTTTAAATTAGATCGCGTCATTTTTATGGTCACTATAAAATGTTGTTAGGTTAGCTAATTACGTAATAACTTTAAACAGAAGGACCCTTAAGTAGGGAGTGAATAAATTAACCGACTTGGTATTACATGGTTCTCACAAATTTTTATGGTAGAACAACTGAGTTGCGAGACTTGTTTTTTTTTTTACAAGTTATGTTTTTTATGGCATCGCACTTATTTTTGTAGATAAGATAGCTCTACTTATTGAATACCAACGACGAACCTATCTACACCTATTAAACATAATATACAAGTACACTGATTCATTCACTGCAAATGTAACTTTGTAATTCTATACATTTATATGATATTACAAAGTTATTTATGCAGTTGGTGTATCTAGAAAACTGGATTAAAATTAAAAAATATTTTAGTTTTTCCTTGATTTATACACTAAACCCTAATTGCATTCCAAGTTTGAAGCTTCTATGTCTGCTAGAAGTGCCTTAGAGTTTTGATGATCGGTCAGTCAGTGAGTGACAAAATTAATAAACTTTGACTAGTTGTAACTCTTAAACTACTGGTTCAAATTGAATGAAATTTGAAATATACCATGTTTATACAATGTCTACTTGGTTACTGAAAATTCAGGCTTTTAGTTTTATCCACTACGAAGTTATAGGGGGTCGAAAATGGCCTGAATTGCTTCGAGAAAAGTATAGTACGGCCGTGCCGCTTTTTTGCTCGACTTGGCGGGGGCACTGCCGTGCCCCCAGATTAAAATAGAAATATTGATAAGATAAAATATGGTTTTTCATTATAATTATTTTCTTTGAGTATCTTAAGTCAATTAGATCCCACCAAAGCGAAAACTCAGTGGGTCGCTAGTTATTAATGTTATTATAAAATTAATGTACCTACTTGCGATTACTTTTCAAATATATTTGCATTTAAAAAAATCCTTAAAAAAAGGGGCTTTAGAAACTCAGCTCAAATTCTAATTTCGCCCCCACTTCCCTGCGTGTCTATGTGAAATATTTGTAATCACTGATACTGTAAGCTCAGCTCAAATTCTAATTTCGCCCCCACTTCCCTGCGTGTCTATGTGAAATATTTGTAATCACTGATACTGTAAGTAGGATAGGTCGTTAGATACTTATTTCATTAGGTTTATCATATTTATGCATGTTTCTTGACGCCAATCCAGTCGCTTCTTATTTTTATTACGGTTATTTCCCATTTTAATTTTACGTCGTCCTATTGCGTAATGTGTATTCTGAGCGTAAGCGGCACAGCTTTCCAGTTCAAAAGCCTAAGCGAGACTGATCGGGCGGGCAGGGAAGGGAACAAGCTTCAAAACGCCGATAGTTTAGGTAATTTCTTTTTACAGTGAAAATAATAAGCGTATGTGCCCCGCTTTATAGTTAGTTCAGTTAGTATGTAAAGTTTCATGATCTAATTTAAAGTATTTTATGAATACCAGCAGTTTATTGTTCAGTTTTGAGGTAACTGGATTTTTTTCTATCGAGAAAATTTTACGGAATCGTGTTTTCGTCTAACATAGTACTTAACATTAATCCTCAACTTTACCATATATTTATTTCAAAATTAATGCGGAAATATTTTCGACATAACGGAGGATTTTGCTAAGCCATTTGAAGTAGTATTTTTACTATTTTCCCTTAACCAAATAATATAACGTTATAACGATACACCGTTATTAACGGCTTTTGCCATTGGTACTGTGCATATTGCCATTTCTAATCCCATTCTTTATCCGTACGGCCTTTATAATTTAAAACCCATAGACTCAAACTGTTTTCATAATAATATTTAATGCACATACTGGATAATATTTTTATATTCTTTTGTCAGCCATATTTCGATGAAAAAAACAATGTGTATTTTTGTTTTTGTCTCAGGTTGCTCTCTCAGAAAACCCTCCAAAGGATCTCGGCTACTTGTATCTGTATGAAAGGCTGTGATGATCGACCAAAAACCAATGATTCTAGATTGTTACATATTAGACTGTGCTATTGTACACACAAATGAGAAATGTTAACTAGCTACATATTTTGTAGACTATTTATATTTAATTTTAAAAACTATTTTAATGAAATTCGAGTAAGGATATACTATGTCTAAGTAAGTTTCGAGCACTAAGATTCAGTTTCGTTTGCATATGATTGTTTTGTAAATGTTTTAATATGTTGGCGATTTAGTGAAAATTTTCCTAATATCATAGTTCTACGAAAGCGATCAATCTATTATGTCTACCCTTTCTTAAGGGAGATCTATGCTCTGGTGGTACATTGTACTTGATTATTGTAACATTAATATAGTAAATAATATTACAAGTCGCAACTCTATGGTTCAATCAGCCAGTTAATTAGACAGGATCAAGAGTCACTAAGATTTAAATTAAGTTTTTGCGATACCAAAACTATTTTTTTAAACTGCAGTGATAAACATACTTACAGCCCACCTGATAGTAAGATTCGATAATTACTATATTAATCATAACTAAATGAAAATCACTAAATCTGGATTGATTATTGGACAGCTTAAAATAGCAGCTCAACGCTGCTGTGTTTAGTATGGTGGAGTGTTGAGAACCGGAGACCCATTTTACTGGAAACGAGCATTCCAGCTTAGTCCTCATGGGTGACAATGCATCTGTATTTTGATTCGTAATCGAGGATAGATGTAGATGTCTATGGGCCACGGCAACCACTTACCATAAGGAAGACTGTGCGCTTGTATGTCACTCTTTCCTAAAAAAGAAAATCTGACCCAATAGGTGATGCTGTGGCCTAGTAATAGACCCATTTCCACGCGAACTGAGACGTTTCCAGTTTCCACTAGATGAGTAGTCCAACTTGAGTGTTTTTTGTTTTACACAAAATAAAAACCAACTGATTAAGCGACTGATTAAACTATTGGGCTGTTTCTAACAATACTTTTGTCCCAGTTTTGCTCACTAATACGGATAATTCTTAAAGTTATAATATAGTTTGTAAATGTACAAGTGCCGATAGCAGTGTAGAATATTTTTGTGTTAAACACCTATAAACAACGAAACCACAAATAAATTATTACAATTATTTCGTGTTTTATTGCACACAATCACAACTGGTTTAATTCCTTACTGAGGTTCACTACAGCCTGTCACCAGTCTGCTGCTGAACACAGGCCTCGCCCCTAGATTACCACAAAATATGGTCCGGAGGTACCTGTATCCGTCGAATACCTGCGTGTTTTTTAGGTCGTCACTCCATCTAGTGGGGGTCGGTTGGCTAACACTGCTTACCTGCCATATGAAAACCTTCCTTCCCCATTGGTTGCCTGTTCTTCAAGCTATATAGCCGGCCCATTGCCACCTCAGCTTACTAATATGCTGGGCTATCTCAGTTACCTCAGTTCTGTAGGTATTCTCATTACAGACTTTACCCCAAGAAGTTCTGATCATTTTCCTATCGCAATTATTGTTACTATAATTTAATATTGAGATGAAAGTTACAACTAATATATGTCCTGTTGCTGAGCACAGCCCTCCTCTCATTTCTGAGAGGGTGTTAGGGGCAAGGAAATGTCTGCCTCGCTGCACCAATATGTGCTAGCAAACTTCACAATATACTAATAAATATTTTTTTTGTTCTTTTTTCTCAGACATGCAAGTTTCCTCAACAATATTTTCCTTTACCGCCCAGCATGTGGTGGTTATTGAGATTATTAAACATTAATGGTTCTTAAATGGTAGGCTTAAATCAGCATGGAAATTGCACATAAAGCGAAAGCTAATAAATCTCAAATAAGGCTTGATTCTGGATGAATCGAAATGCTCAGCAGTTGACTTATTTAGGGTGGAAATTTATTTTTACTTAAGCTCAATATGCATAAGACAATTGTAAATATGCCTGTAAATTTAACATATCACAATGTGCGACCCTCTTAATATATATATATATATATATATATATATATATATATATATATATATATATATATATATATAATATTTAAGACAATTCACTTTTATAAGCATGTATGGGCAGATTTTGAAATAAAATCTTTATTCTTTTCAAAAACATACATTACTACTTTATATAAATGTACAGTATTTCATAAATCACAATTTTAAAATTATCGTTTAAATTTATCAGTAGGTTTTGGAATTCTCCACCAAAATATTGTTTTCTCATCAAAGTATGTGTTGAATTTTTTGTAGTCTCTTCTTTTCTTTGGATCTTTGTGACAATAGGATGGAGTCAAGTTTATCATAAGTCCTGTAATTGTAAATTACAAACAATTAATAGATTTGCTGGTGACATCAAAAGGTAATATTATAATATAACAATTACTAATAAAACTATTTTCAACAAATTGATTTTAGATGAGATCAAAGAGCAGAATCCATGTCAATATTTCTTATGCAAAACTTGCCAGTATCTATTATTTTATTTGAAGTATAGTTTATTAGTAATTATAATATAGTAACTTTGTCATGCTATTTTTATCTGGAATTTTTCAGAAGATCTCAATATTCATGTGCGCCACTAGGCACTCACAGCAGTCTTCCAGACTGAATATATGGGCATAATCCATGAGCAAATAATAAAAAAGTCCATCCGAATAATACATAGGTGACACTTTTGGCTTGGAGCAGCAAAGTGATGAAATATTGACTCATATACTATATGCATTTAAGCAAGGCATATAATCAACTTCAAATCAACTCAATTGAATAAAACTATATTTACGGATTTTATGTGGTCTCTCTTACATAGGTCAAACAAAAAGATCAATAAAAACCCGCGTGAAGGAACATATAGCTGACGTGAAGCACTGACGCTCCGGGAAGTCTACAGTCTGTGAATATGTTCAAGATCGTCCCCACCATTACATTAGATTTGATAAACCACAAATCCTCACAAAAGAACACCAATTCCTACCAAGGATGATACGCGAGGCTATTGAAATTAAAAAACATCCTAATTTCAATAGAGAAGATGGAGGATGGGCGCTGCATTCTGCTTGAGATTATAATTAACACAATTAAGCCCAAACCCAAGCATACCACTGCAAAAAACTCGTTTTGCGTAAATCGGACCAAAAATTAATATTCCAAAATTGAAGGTAGCCGGACTAACTATGACATTAGGATGTCAAACATCTCAGTCCCCCTGTGACCATGGGTGCTGTAAAACACCCGAAATGTCGGAAATAAAAACTAAGTTAAAATAGTTGATTAAACATAATAAAATCTGTAAATATAGTTTTATTCAATGTGTAGTGTTCGCGTAAATTTAATAAATCCTTATCAATTAACTCAATCTTATAATGGATCAAATACCAGGTGATCTAGAGGAAACTATGTGGCTGACAAACTAGCCATTCAAGATCAGCACAAGGTGTCATAGGGCCAGAACTGATTACATTGATTCCCTTAGAGCATGTTCAGTCATTGGTATATTTCTCACTAACTGGAGAAGCCATGATCATTATATAACAAAGAAAGCCTTGCCCGCAATGTATGGTTGCATCTCCAAGACACTAATACATTTAAACAAACCACAAATTTGGATAGAAATAGTATTAAATCTGTTTAAAAATAATCTGTTTACCATAAGTATGAGACAATTCACTGTGCAGTGCATTAATAATGGATGAAAACCCAAGTACTATAAATGTGTCTACAGGTTGCCACATACAGGGCTGAATATTTCTGCATGCCAAGGTAAATCTGCAGCTCACTTTGACTCAAATAAGCTTAATTTCTTGCCCACAAGCAAAATATGTCTTAAGATGTGAATTTGTGGAATATAGCCAGTTACAAAATATAACTTATTCGCAATGAAAAAGTATACTTTGAGGTCATTTAGTTATACAGATTTTATAACATTTTCTACATAAAATTTTTCAGAATTCAGTATTCTGTGTGATACTTACTGGTCGAGCAGACCCATTCGTGCACATTTAAACAACTTCCAATTTTAGAGAACAAAATTTCACAGTTTTAGAGTTCTTTACACTTAGTATTAAAATTCTTCTTTCACATTAAAGTGAAATCCTAATTCATATTTAAAAAAAGAAGCATTATGTGACAAAAAAGATAGTATATTCCAGGTAAACCATGTTTATTACCCATCATCCTATTTTAAGATTGAAGAGCCATGTTGCAGCTATATTATTTATATATACATAATATTGGTGTAAAATAGTAACTTAATGCTGCAGTGTTTTGTATGGAGACTGAAGAGCTACGGAAACCCTTTATACTGGTAAATAAAACATTCTATCTTAGCCCTCAGGGGTGACAACATACCTACATTTTAATTCTTAATTGAGAATAGATGTAAGTGTATAAGGACTTACAACATCCACTTATCATCAGGTTGTTTATGAGTCAACCTTCATCATCATCATCATTACAGCCCTTCACAAGTCCACTGCTGAACATAGGCCTCCCCCAAGTAATGCCACAAAGCATGTTCCTGAGCCACCTGCATCCATCGACTTCCTGCATATCTTACCAGGTCGTCACTCCATCTAATGGGGGTCGCCTTACACTACGCCTACCAGTACGAGGCTGCCACTCGAGAACCTTTCTTCCCCATCGGTTATCGGTTCTTCGAGCTATATGGCCGGCCCATTGCCATTTCAGCTTACTAATCCGTTGGGCTATGTCGGTCACTCTGGTTTTACTGTGGATATCCTCATTTCTGAGTCTATCATGCAGAGAAACTCCATAGCTCACTGAGCGACCCTGAGCATCCTCATACGGCCAGCAGTGAAGGACCACATCTCAGATCCGTAAGTCATAGAGTCAACCTTATTATGTAAAAATAAAATTATGTGTTGAACACTATGTTCTCACCTGCTTTTTGAGCCATTGTAACTAGTTTACTAATCTTCTTCTGTTGTCGACTACAAAGTCCTGTTATGCGACGGGGCAACATGCACCCGTCAGATCTTACAAACTGAC